ACAAAACTATTGATTATATTGGATTGTTCTCCTCTGCTCGTGGTTTTTTTCCCGAATTGGGTTTCCACGTAAATTCTTGTGTTCTTATTTTCTTCTTCTTTATTTTATTATTATCATTATCTTGCGATCCGTTTCATAATAGATTTCATGGGGATTGCATCCATTTACATCATCCTTAAACTCTTGAAGACATAGTAGAATGTATTTTTAATAATAAATTTCAAGGAATTCTGCTCGGTCACTTGACCTCACAATCAGACAGACCGTGTTCATTCGTCAATGCATCAAGGTAATCACAATCCTGATAGTGCGATTGGATTGAGACGCAAAACGTTGCAGAACAAACACACTAGAGAGTTGTATGCTGAAAAATAATAGTAGATATTGACGGAAAGATTTCTAGATGTTTTGTAACATAAAATCACGATTGTAAGTGTTTTTTTTCCCTTTGTTCTATTATTTTATGCAGAATATTTACATTTAATATACTATAATATATTTTATGACGCTTGTAAATAGCTAATTATAAATATGAAAGTGTGTCGCATGTCCTTCTTACTATATAATAAATAATCGAAACAATATTAAATGCTGTATTATAAATAAGCCACGTGCATCGCAGGCTGAAAGTTAGTTGTTTTTGTAATACTAAACCCCCGTTTGATGGCTATTATTTTAAGAAAATGGAGTTTTGAATAGTAATTTTTTAGAGAACGTGTGGTTAAAAAGTAGAGAAAAAATTTATATTTACGTACAAAATATTTTATTATATAAATGTGTGGTTGAAATGCGTATAATAATTAAAGAGTTTTGAAATAATGATTGTCCATCATTTTGAAGGAAAAAACGAGGCGAAAGTTTTGGACAAAATTAATACAAAATTGTTGCTAAATATTTTCCATCATTTTGAAGAACGAGGCCAAAGTTTTTGACAAAACCATTGTTAAGGATGAGATGAAAGGTTAATAAAAAATGTGACTAAAAAAAGTTGGGAACATGAATACGAAAGTGTATAAGATTAGGAATCTTTAATGAAATTAAATTGTAGTGCATTTATTAAAATATTTGGCGTTCATACAACCACCATTTTTATAGTAAAAAATTAAAAATAGTTAATATAGACATGGAAATGCGTATCGAAAAGTTCGACAAGCTCTCAATTAAAATAAAAAAAAATCACCAGAAACATTGATGAAAAATCTCAATCCCTGAAATAGTGTAACTTAGAGCAAATGAGTATATACTTGGTATTAATAGTGAGAGAAGGTTGAAGCCCTTCTCTTAAAGCTTGTAGGTTAACCTTCCTTAAAGGGATAATTACCAAAAACCAGCCGTTTAGTTTCAAGTTTATAAAAATCAGGTTTTAGTTTTATTTAATCAAAAATCAGGTTTTATCATTTTTAATTAATAATGATATTATAAAATTAAAATAACCTATATACCCAC